TCTTGAAGCGGAACTTCACACCGCGCACTTTACTACGTTTTTTAATCACGCCCTCAAGAACTTAACATCGCGCAAAAATGACATTTCACAAAGAAAAAATATCTTACCTCCTTGAAGTCTTTGGCCTCTACTTCTGCTATTCTTTGTAGCGAATTCCCTCGTATTCAAAGATACGGACCTACCGTAAATAAAGACGAATATCATTTAGCAATAGTTTATTTTTTGGTGGATTGAATGTTATGATGAGTTTTTTTTTAATTTAAAATTTGTTTAATTGATTGTTAGAGTAGCCTTAGTAGTTGGGTTCTTGAAAAAATTACCGGGAACCGAAATTTAATCCCTTTAACGACGTCGGCTTAAAATTTTTGTACACCTTCTAGTCGGGAGACAACTGGTACCATCTCGGGTGACAATAGGCTCCTTTGCTTGAGACAAATGCTGGTTTGCACAAGCCCGACTGAAATGTCTTTTGATCTATAAAATTTTAGTTAGTATCATACTAGCACTTAACAGGGGTGGTACTAAAATGGAACAGGTGGAAAGTTTCGACATTGAACAATTAATTGGTGAAGTGGAACAAAGGCCCATATTATGATATAAGATCAATGATATATATGAAGAACGAAATAAAAAACGAAGTGCAGGGGGAGGAAGTGTGTAATATATTTATGCCAAATTACAGCGAGTTACCTGATAAGTGATAACACTAAAAATGATAAAGGTAAAGGGGCACCAAACCAACATCACTCATAAAATAGTTTTTAAAAGCATTCCGAACTTCTTTCCTTGTTCTTATACTCCTTAAATTATGGGTCTAGGAACATCCTCAAAGCGCATAATTCTGTCTAAACGCAAACTGAAGAAGCACGGTTCTGTACACAGTTTAATTGTGTTGTGTGTTTTGGTGGCGTGTTTGACCTTAAACTATCATTTGGTCCACATATTAAAAATATTGCAATATCTGCTTTTCGATTTTTGGGTTTTGTACTTGTGAAGATGCGATTTCGAAATATTGAAACTTTCAAATTATTGTATATAATTTTTGTTAGATGTAGGCTTGAATATGCTTCTGTGGTTTGGTCGCCACTGTATTATAATTAGGGATGTACCGACTAGTGGCCGACCGGTCGGATAAGCCGACTATTCGGCCGTTTTTCATCGTCGGCTGCAGTCGGCGACTAGTCGGCTAAACAGCCGATCGGTCGGCTTTTTTTTATTAAAATTAAAATAGTATATAAAACAATTAAACCCGGTTTACAAAACCTCAATGAAATATTTAATTGGGATTTAATTTTTAACCCCGCGTTAAAGTACCATGTGACCGACTCTACGCCAATCAGACGTCGCTAATGGCCTTGTTAAATACGCGATCAACTTAATCTCAGTTAAAATATTGTATAAACTGGCCCTAAATTGTGTTATTCTTTATTTTTGTACTGAGTTAATAAAAAAAATTAAATGTTAAAAGTATCCAAACAAATTTAACATATTTTTTGGAAAACAACAAAGGAACTTTAGTTATTCCTTTTATTAAAATGAAACAAATTTTTAAGGTAATCAGAGAAATAGAAAAAAAACACACTGTCTGTCGCATTTATAAACCGGTTTTCGCAAAGCCGAACAGTCGGCCGACTAGTCGGTTTTTACTGGCCGAACAATCGGCTAGTCGGTTAGTCGGCCAGACCTACAGTCGGTACATCTCTAATTATAATGTTTGTAATACTTCCATTCTTAAAAGAGTTAAGCGTGAATTTTTGAAAACAGCTGTTTTTTTAGTTCATGGAGTCTATCCACTAAGGGCTTATCCACAAGATCTCACGCTAAGCAAATTTATAATATTTTCGCTACTTTCCAGACGAAATCAATATTCAGTTCGATTTCTATATAAAATCTTGTGTGGACTTCAGGAGTGTCCATATCTTCTCTATAATATCGGGATAAAGGTGAAGAGAATTAACGCCCGCAACAAACATATTTTCGATATTACCACTCCTTCAGCTAATATAAGTATTATAATATTAGCATTTAAATATTACTCCTATTTATTTATCAGTATTTTTCTTTCTTTTTTCGTTTTTTCCTTATTTAATATTTTTGTGTACTTGTTCTTTAATTGGGTTTTTCGCTTGTTGCACATTGAAATAATTAATAATAACAATAATAATGACACAAAATACAGTTTTTGTTAACTACCGTACATATATCCTCAAAAATTCGCTGATAATTACCTTTAATTTTTAGTTTCTAAAACATTCTCATTTTTGTGTCAAATATACATAATATACAGATGCCTTTCTTGTAACATTTATGTCCAGTTTATGTAAAAGTGAATTATTCTAATTAGAATTAATTATTTAATTAGGATTAATTCCTGAATCTAATTGTCAATTACATCATATAATCTTAAAAAATACCAATTCATAAATGTCAACTAAAATACAGATTTGTGAGGCATTTGAATAATCGTGTGATAAAAGTTAGATTCGCAGCTTCACGGGTTAATGGCAATTAAATAATTACTCATTAATTAACTTTCTATCGAGACAGCAATAAAAACACGATCAAAGACAACTACTGTTTTTTTAAATTTTAAAATGAATGAATCAGTCAATTTATTTTATTGATTAAATCAGGAATGGCTCACTCCATTTTCCCAAAAATTTGGGAAAACAGTACTGTTAGTATTAGTAATATCTGGTTGATCGAGCTTCACTCGGCTCGTTTGGTAGTACTGATCAGATTAGGACAGATAAATAGGTGTACCTATAGTATGCGTTTTGAAGTACCCGCACTAATTAAAAATACACATTAAAAAGGAAATTCCGTAAGCAGTCTTTGTTTTAAACACTGTTGAGTGGCATGTAGAGATTTAAGAATAGAAAACTGGAATTATTGTTTGATATTTATTACAATGTCATTTATTACTTTGTGTGTCGTTCTCTTTTTTCTTCACCACATTCTTACTGATTCTTACTGCCAGAAGAGTTTCCTTCTGGTATGGTTTTAACATACTGAGTTACCGTGCTCTTTTGCGTTATTTCTTATTTCTCAACTCTGCTTATGAAGATGCCACTTACGAAAGTGTGCGAAACGTTGAACCCAAAAACTCAAATAACACGGTCCCAACTCGAAAAACGATCATATACAGGGTGTTATTGAAAGGTACGTACAACAAAATGGACAGTTCTTCGCGAAGTCTAAGAAGTCTGAAAAACTTATTTTGTGTTATAAAAATTATAAGGGGAAAATTAGCGCTTGTCCAACCTTTTTAGACGCTACTGAAGGATAAATAGGTAAAATCAATTTATTTTAGTACATCCTAGCAACTGTAACAATAAAACTTTTGTCAAGACTAAATGTTGCTATAGAAACGAAAGATGATCTTTTTATCAGAGGCGTACAATGAATTTGGACATACATTTTAATAATTTTTATCTCTAAATGGAGAACACTTTTATCTGAACTTTTTTTAACTTTTAGCACCCATACATCGAGACCAATTGCTGATTTTATTTTGTACGTACCTTTCAATAACACGCTGTATATGGACTCCGACCGTGGAAGCCTCCGAAATTAATGCTTGACAAAATAACCTCATTTCAACGCACTTTCGTGCGCCTTTTATCCGCTGTTTAGTTTTCCGTAAATTTTCTCACTTCAGAAGGTGAATCTTAACGTCCTATATACAGTGGAGTATGTTTCGGTAAGTACAGTTGAAGATAAAAAGGTACGTCAAACGTACTGTCACCCAAACTTCTCTAAAACAATCTCGTGTTCGTGTAGTGTCATCTGATGTTGCTGAGCAACAAATATAATTCACTGCCTGAAAATTGCTGAAAATGTATGAAGCTGTAATTTTCAGAAGTTAAAACTATGATGAATCGATTTCTTGACCCAAAAAAACCCCAACCTGTAAATTTCATCGAAATCGTTAGAGCCGTTTTCGAGAAACCCATTATATATATAGATATATAAATATAAAAATATATATATACAAATTTTGCTCGTTTAATAGTATTAGATTATAATACACCCATCCAAACTGATACAAGTATCCTTGCAAAAATGTTGATAACGTCATCATAAGGTACAAATCTTTATTTTAACTTATCTAGGGGTTCTCTTAAAAACATAAAATTCGCAAAATCAAATGTTATAATTTTTCGAAAAATCTGGATATGTTTTATTGTACTTCGACCAATTTTTTAAACTTTGACTTTTATCATAGCACTTTCAACTCAAACTTTCAAATTGAAGGTGTTTTGACAAGACAAAAATTCTATCAAAAACAAATCTTCAAAAATCCATGGCTATCTTTGATCGTATTTTTTATTGCTGTATCGGTATAAACCGAGAAACATTTCAGTAATCAAACGTCATAATTGAAAATGCTTGTAGGTAGAATTTTAGGATCATTTAAGATTCTGACGAAATATTTCTTCAAATTAGATCCATCACGCATGTTTTTCTTGAATTATATAATGTATCTACAAAAATAATATAATAAGTACATAGTCAAACCGTGTACTGAAAACAATAATAAATATTTATTAAACTACAAAACTGTTAATACATGATCTGGAATTTGATAAAATTCCATAAAATCTTCACTTTTAAAATACATATGTAGTAAAAAAGGCGAAAAAGTTTTCTTTAATGAAGCTACATCTTTCATAGTAGATATTTAAGTATACCGAGTAAATAACTTAATGGCGAAAAAACGTTAGTTTTATTCTTTGCTATTTGTGGTAGTTGGGAAACCGAAGACCGATACTTAAATAAGCTATAAGCAAACACCATTTAACTTAAATTTTAGTTGTTTAAACATTTTGTATAAAATATAATTTTTTTTAGTTTGAGAAAGGAATTTTAATTATAACAGAATGAAGAAATTAAGATCCGCCGAAAATTCTCAGAAAACATTAGAGTAAATATTACGAAAAGTGTATCTTTAGTTTAGTGGGAGAACCGCTATATGAGAACTTTACAGACACCACACCGTGTATTTCGAGTGTGGAGGGTGGAAGTGCTGTGATACAGTGATTCAAAGTAGGCGTCTTGAAAAATCTTAGCCTGTTCTCGGTAAGAATATTGTTTATTTTAATCCCAGAATTTCATATGTATTTCAAAAACTTACATACCTGAGTATATTGTTATTTCAAACAAAAAAAATCTTGTGGCGTGATATTATTCTATGAGTGAAAGTAATTTTTTGCTATTATTTCTCCACATTTTATAAATAAATATCACCATAAAAACGTTCTCGTTTGCCAATAGCAGTCACGTAGATTCTCTTTCTTCTTGTGCAATGAATACTTCCCGGATAATTATTATGTAATTCTGGTCAGCATCCGAACAACTTTCACCTGTTCCGAAGACAAATCCGAGCTGCGATCTTATTCATACACATGCGGAAAAGAGTTGGGTTCGACATTTCATTAAACTTTCCTTTTTCATATTACGTAACGTTTTAATTATACGGTAAAAATAAAATGTAGGTTCCACAAAACAGTTCTTCATAGTTAAATATTTTAGGCAGAATTAAAGTTAAACATTCTAATTAATGCATTGCACTAATATAACGAGATTTTATCAACACTATTTACGAAAATCAGATTGTCGTATCATATTGGTAGTGCGTGTTTTGGGTTGCACTGCTTAACATTAAACAATTCATTTTGTAATAATTAGTAGTATTTAGTAGCTATGCGACCAATAAGTTGATTTAAAAGATCTGTGTTGCACTTAAAATTAAATGTTTATAATCCACTTACTGTCGATCTAATTAATATCATAAATTGTCTTAAAAATAATCACCTCGAAATGAAACCGATTTTAATGATTTTTAATTGATTATAATTTAGTTTTAGGACAAAATGTGGACAGCAATAGCGTTCTTCGTAGTAATTCTAGGATTACTAGCTTACTTAGACACTAAAAAACCAAAAAATTATCCGCCAGGACCAAAGTGGCTACCAATTATAGGCTCTGCTTATGTACTCTTAAAAAAGAGAAAGCAGTATCGCAATCTCTACAAAGCAACTGCAGTTATGGCCAAAGAACATGGACCTGTGATTGGTTTGAAAGTGGGCAAAGATTTGATAGTCATTGTGTACGGAAAACAAGCAATTCGAGAATTTTTATCATCAGAAGATTTGGGTGGTAGACCGACAGGACCGTTTTATGACATGAGAACGTGGGGCGAACGACGAGGAGTTTTATTAACAGACAGTGAATACTGGCAGGAGCAAAGAAGATTTATTTTGCGTCAGTTAAGAGAGTTCGGTTTCGGCAGAAAAAATATGTCCGCGATGATTGAAGAAGAAACGGGAATCATGGTGGAAAGTTTCAAAAAAATGCTGGCTGGGAAATCTTCATTTACCCATAATATGGCGTCAGCATTTAGTATACACATTTTAAATACTTTGTGGATGATGATGGCCGGGATTCGATATAGTCCTGAAGACAAAAACTTGTTGAGTTTGCAAGATATTTTAGGGAGATTGTTTTCTGCGGTCGATATGGTTGGTTGTCCCTTCAGTCACTTTCCTATTTTAAAGTTTATAGCTCCTGAGGTGTCCGGATATAAACTTTATGTTGAAACACACTTGCAAGTATGGGATTTCTTGTATAAAGAACTCACGCGTCATAAGGAAACGTATGATGAAAATAATTTAAGAGATTTTATGGATGTTTATTTAAAAATTTTAAATTCTCCCAATCGAGACGAAAGTTTTTGCGAAAAACAGTTGCTAGCAATTTGTATGGATATGTTTATGGCTGGTTCTGAAACTACCAGTAAAAGTCTTGGTTTCTGTTTCCTAAATCTGATACGTTATCCAGATGTACAGAAAAAAGCACAGCAGGAAATAGATCAAGTTGTCGGTAGAGACAGACTTCCAACTCTGGAAGATAGGCCAAAGTAAGATTATCGTTTATAAATTTGTATTCAGTTATAATAAACACATTATGTTTTAGAATGCCCTATATGGAATGCGTAGTTTTGGAAGCTTTACGAATGTTCTCCGGAAGAGCTTTCACAGTGCCTCATCGCGCCCTCAGGGATACACATTTAAATGGACACTTCATCCCAAAAGTACGCCATAATTGTTAACATTTATTAGTTTCGTTACGACTGTATTATTTTAGGACACTATGGTAATAGCAAATTTGCATGGAACTTTAATGGGCCCTGACAGCGGCGTGGAAGAACCGGAAACATTTAAACCGGAAAGATATTTAAAGGATGGGAAAATCACATTAGCGGAGACATACATTCCATTCGGATTTGGAAAACATAGATGTTTAGGAGAAACGCTTGCTAGAGCTAACGTTTTCTTGTTTACTTCCGCTCTCTTACAGCATTTTAACTTTTCAATACCACCTGGTTGTCCACCGACAACTGAATGTATTGATGGGGTCACTCCCGGACCTTTACCTTTTCAAGCACTTGTCACACTGAGGGATTAAGTAAATTAATATTGTTAAAATACGTTATAATTTCAACAAATGTGTTGAATATGTCAAGTCACATAAAGTGCTAGTCTTTGTAACCCTACTTAAATATTTTATTTTTGTATTTTCAGAACATTGTGCCAATAATATAATTTACATTTTTTGAAAATTATTTTCAACATGAAAGTATCTGGTAATTTACTAAAAATCATAATGTATACATATTGTGTATAAAAGTAGCCTAATAATTATTATGTGTAAATTACTCATAAAAATCAAATACGAGTAATTGTCACATATGAATACCTATGAGTAACAAATTTGTAGTTTTTATTTTATAATATTCAATAAAATGTGTGTTATGATTATTTTCACCGTGAGCGAAAAATACTGAATTTGAATTTTAACCTTAAAGCCAATGAGCCAAATATGGTCATAAATACAATATACTTACAGGGTGTCTCAGAAATAAGTACATTAATTTTAATCAGTTATAGAGCTCATCAAACTCACAACTTTTTTTAATATAGTTTTGTCAAGAACTTTTTAATTATCGAGTTAAAAATTGCTAAAGTTTTATCTCAATTAAGGTTACCCGCGCATGGATCCTCAGTCACTCATGGACACTAATAATGATTATAATTAATAGATTATGGTCAAAAACAGTTACTAGGATACGTATTTTCCTAATCTTGTTAACATCACAAACATTTAGGAAGAAATTGAAAATGCTGCTCCCTAATGGCGTACGGAATTTCTTTGGCCCAAATCTGGGTGTTGATTACACCTTCCCTCGTGTATCCGGCCTCATCAATTGATGGTATAAGAGATACAAAATTTGGTTGTACGTTTAATTTTCTATTAACCCACTCACAAAACTTTTGCCTGCGCTACGTGATAAGTCTGTTGGTTTCAATAACTGAACTTTCTGGTCCTGAAAGAGGTACAGTTGTTCTCTGAGTATCCTCCAAATACTACTCTCCGATACATCACACTGGACAGCGACGCGTGCTAGTGCCCGGTCGAGTTTCGACACTCTCCAATAATATATACAAAATACATAATACACCGACCGGCCGAAAAAACCGGCCACCCTGAAAAATTTCGCAAAACCAAGCTTTAAAAATTATTAATTTAATTACTGATCGTTATTTTATTAAAGAACCATTCACTACTGACACATGATGTATATGTTACAGTCAAAGTGTTCATTCCGTCAATGTATATGTTACAGCTAATATCCGAAATCCGTTATTATGCATAATAACTAGACATTTTAGGAATTATGCGTAATAACTAAACTTGTCAGTTATTATGCGTAATAACTGAAATTTTCAGTTATTATGCATAATAACGGAAACGTTTAGGTAATATTGATAATAACTAACAGAGGAACAGAAATTATGCATAATAGCTGATTTCACAAAAAACGGGACAAGATGAGCAATTCAGGTTCTCATAGATCAATGAAAAGCAATGGGAATATGAAGTTTCTGTTACTGTAATTTGTCCCGTTTTTTTTAAATCAACTGTACATGTGATATGTAGGGGAAAGGGAGGCAGAGTGGGTAGCTTTTTTGAAAATATTGTGCATAATTCCTGTTCCTCTGTTAGTTATTATCAATATTACCCAAACGTTTCCGTTATTATGCATAATAACTGAAAATTTCAGTTATTACGCATAATAACTGACAAGTTTAGTTATTACGCATAATTCCTAAAATGTCTAGTTATTATGCATAATAACGGATTTCGGATATTAGCTGTAACATATACACTGACTAGACAATGTATGCATTGACTGATTTGCGCAGTAAATGTGTTCACAATGGACGATGTGTAAGCTTTAACCTTAGATCATATAATAAATAGATACCACCATGCCGTGTTCTTTCCCTAGGACAGCCTGTGACGACATCCTCCTGTCACACATCTCTCTCGTGCATGGAGGAATTACAATGAAGCTATCATTGCCTGATCACTATTTGAATTTTGCGCGCCTAAATTTTAGGAAGTATGTCTGAACCAGTCTGAACTAACTTCGGAAGAAAGATGTTGACAGCTTGATTTTATAAATAATTCACAGTAGATAATGAAAGGAATAGTAAATTATTGGGCAGCAATTGTGATTCTTTATGACTACATCACTTAAAATAGGATCTTTGTTCTAAATTCTAAAATTGTTTTTTGTACAACAACTCGAAAGAGAGGTTAGAAGAAACATCTGTCAAAAGCGATTTGTTGCGCTGGTGCGGTACAAGGATGGAAGTGAAATAGACATATGCAGATGAAATGCATATAACAAAGATGAAGATGTGGTGATCACACAAGGATAGCATTATACTACTCCCCTTGACGTAGAAAACGACAACAGATAACTTCATGTCTAGTCACAGCTTTCAGTTTGAGTATTGGTATCTATTTATTATATGATCTAAGGCTTTAACTAGTCAATGTATACATTAACGGTTCCCGCTTACTCAAAGTATGCACCAAATAATACATGGTGACATAACCTCACATTGTACCTACTGATGTTTTAGCGGTATTTGTGATTTATTGTTTTTGTGTGGTGTGCAGTACATATTAAGTGTTAGTTTAATATTATCTACAATGGATAAAACTGCAAAAAAAAACAAAGTTTTATGAACACATTGAAAAAATCCCGCAAAAACCCAACAGTTTTCGGATGAATTTAGAAAAATATCTAAAGTTAAAGGCAGAAGTGAAAAATGCAAAAACTTTGCCAAAGAAAGAAAATCGGGATTTTTGGTTACTAAAACATTACGATATAATATGTTATTTCTATTTCTCCATAAGCATTAGTGAATATACTGTTCAACACTTAACTCATTTTTAATAAAAATGTCACTTGTACTACTTCTTCTCCGAGCTCCTCAATTGTGATATTTAAGTATTTCTTTTTATTGAAGCTTTGACTAACAGATTGCAGTAAATGCATACACTGTCTAGTGAATGTATACATTTACTAGTAAAAGTATCCATTTCCATGCGCAGTGAATACTTTGGCTAAAACCGTACGTCAATGTATACATTGACTAGTCAGTGTATACATCCGCTGAAATGTACGCTTTGACTGTAACATATATACAGGGTTATTCAGCTAATATGACCTATTTCTGTTTTTAAAATAGGCAACCCAAAATACCGATTCCACCTAAACCTGGATTACAAAAAATGTTTCAAAATTAAATTGTATCAAAGTTTGCTTATAAGTGTATAGAAACGTCAGTGTCAGAAAAATGCCTATGCATTCTTACGATAATAACGAAAAACCGACCAATCTTTGTAGTTGGTTTGTGGGTCGAAGTGCATGCTCCAGGTGCAGATGGTTAGAGCGGTTACCGGTTAGGATGAAATTTATTTATTTGTTTAGCAATAGCAATTTGTCCCATAACTCCCATATGGGGATTCTCATTAACTTGTGCAAGAAGTAATACTTCATTTTCCAAGCTAGCCGCAGTCTGGTTCCGTTTCCTCTTGTTAGCAGGCCACTTTCTTACGCAATGAATTTTCTAGCTGAAAATTTTGGGTGTTGAGGACACACGGTCAGGGTATCTTCGGGCATACAATTGTGCTGTACGCCTAGCCTTTTTGTGTCATTCTTCATAACGTGTCCATAACTAAGGATCATGTCGGTTTTCTCATTATTGAATGCATAGGAGTTTTTCTGACACTGACGTTAACTGACGTTTCTATTTTAGCAAACTTTGATACAATTTAATTTTGAAACATTTTTTGTAATCCAGGTTCAGGTGGAATCGGTATTTTGGGTTGCCTATTTTAAAAACATAAATTGGTTATCTTAGCTGAATAACCCTGTATATAAATTAGCAAAAAAAAAGAAGACAAATAAAGGCAGAATTAAATTTAATTTAACAAAATAATAGAAACAGAGCGACAATTTGAGAAACGTCTGTAAGAGTTAACGGCATTGTTTTCGCGTGAAAACGTTTATTAACTGCCAAAACTTATAATCAAATGCTGAAAAACACTGTTTACAAAAACAGCCTCCTTGATTGTTTTAATTAAGAAAATATCGTACTTGGTCTGTTTCTGTTATTTTGTTTAATTAAATTTAATTTAATTCTGCGTTTATATCTTATAACATATAACAGGGGTGTGGCGGCACAATAACACGTCGGTAAGCAGAGAAAGATAAGTGGCCTCGTGGTCTAGTGGTTAGGATGCTTGCCCGGAGCGCAAGAGGCGTGAGGTTCGAATCCCACCGAGGCACAACATTTTTCTCTGCTTATCTACAAGGGCTTTCTACCAAGTGGATGTTATAAGAGCAGACATGCCGTTTGTGTTAAATGAAATTCTAACGCTTTCTGTAAGTGATTTTTCAATTGAACACCCGTTACAACCAACTTCCTGCCTAAGCAGGTAAAATGTGTTGTCCCGACAAGCGTTTACTGTAAAATTCAGTGAATAGTGAATTATGGTTTATGGCATTTAAAATACCATCTTAGAATTACGAGACCTCACATTTATTACCCTTCAGAATTATATTTAAAGATGGATAGTACTGAAGGCTACGGTATATGAAATGGCTAAAATGATTAAATAGAACACTATGAGTGGACCTCTTGTCTCTATTTTTGTCTATGGAACTACCATCACCATCATGAAATGTCAAAAGTAGTACTACAGTAACTAAACTACCAATTAATAAAAAAAAAGTATAATAAAAAAGATGAGATCTTTGGCATTTATTTTGTATCTATACAACGTGTTATAGAAAAAAGTACATTAAATATAAGCACGAACAGAACTCGTCAACAAAAAACATTTTTGTATTTGGCATTTTTTCAAAAACGAATTTTTTTTGTCAGTTTTACTCCTCATTATTTAACGAGCCGGCCATACATTTCTTCAATTGTTCACCGTGAATTTCACTTTCGATGCATCAGGTGGAAAGTGTTTGTTTTTACCCAATTTTTTGGCGAGTTGGCTAGCGATAACGTTTTATCAGCTTCAAAACAGTTAGTTCCTTTTCGACTTTCCTTTGCGGTGTTTTCATTTTTCGTTGTGTGAAGTTATGCCCCGCTATTCCAACAGTGAATACACGGACATGGTGCTAGTGTATGGAGAAGCCGAGGAAATGCAGTGCAAGCATAAAGAATTTTGATATTCTTGAAATTTTGCGGGAACGAGTGATACGTGCTGGTGAAACAATTCGAAACAATGAAATTATGTTACAAAGAGTCAAAGACTCATTTCGTCGCCGTCTTCAGTGTTGT